AAGTAATACGCAAATACATCAAAATCTAACAATAAAATAAGCAACAATCGTAAATTATCAAAACCTCAAGCTACATCAGCCAGTAGAAAACTATACCTCTTTCAAAGAAACATCAACCGCAACTTCAGCTTCTTCCCACTCGGTCTTTAAAGCAGGAAAGCACATTTCAAAAAGGTCCAAAAATTTACTAGGGTCTAAATAAAAGGAAAACACAGCCGTTAACATAACATCAAGGTTTTACGGGACTTAAAAATAGAAAACACATGATCATATATAGTTAGCGAATAAACCATGGACTGAACCTTACCAGATGAAGAATACACCTTAAGCAATGACTGCATCAACATCATAAAAAACAGCGTCTTTGACAAGGGTGCATCTTGGCAACTGACAGTAAGCCATTGAATAACGTCACCAGGGTGCATCATAAACGCATCCACCAGCTTGTTAACGATTTCCATATTCAATGCGGACACACTTTCACGGATCAACAGTCCCTTCTATATGACATAAGATAAAATCTTAGAAACAAAGAACAATAGTATATTAAATATAACTGCCTCACGTACGCCAACACTAGACAAGAGTAATAGTTATAATATTAAGGAGAAGTGGAATTATTTTTCATGAAAAACAGGAAAGTAAAGACGAACCTGCAACTTGTTGCGTTCCTGTTCTGTCAATTTGATACTGCCACATGATTCCAATACTTCAGAGAGCTTAAAGCTACAAGCACTCTCAATTAGCTCAATCCTACGCTCATCAGGATCCAAGGACAGTGCCTCCCCCAAATTATTGATAATATCCATGCTTATTGAGGATATGTTTCCAGTCATGATATCAGGGAGCTTTTTCTGCAAAAAGGAGTTTCTTAGATGACATTTTAATAATATTCAACAATCACAAAATGATTTTTGATTGCATTTTGGGGTATGAAGCATATACAAATTGTAAACTCATATTTACCATTCCATCATCAGCAACAAGATTGTTGAAAAGTGGCCAGTTAATATCCTTCCCCAATTTCAGCACATGAAGGTTTAATTTCCAAGTCTATTCACAAACATGGTTACAACAATTAGCAAAGGTAAAATAGACTTTGGCCATAACTGTATAACATAAATAACGAGAGAACCTTCGGCTGAATCAAGAGAAATGGGAACATTGCAGAGGTGACTTTCTCAGTAGATTCTGCTTGATTACAGAATCTTGAGACGGCAATTTTAAGGGACAAAGCAACGACATCAGCTGCGAGTTGAGCATTATGTGATACTCCTGCAACAAAAAATGTTGATTCAAGATAAATTGATTGGAGCAATTATATATATTTCATTAAACCTTATATTTAAAAGAAACTGGATAAGGACACTACACAGAGTTTTCCTCCAGGCATTTCCCAAAAATTCAGAAGTTAAAATTATGCATAACACAAAAGGGAAGTGTCGCAAGAAGAAAATGGACCGAGCAGTTCAAGTTCCTAAAGACAGTACAGCCTAAAAAACATATCTGACTGACGTTAGCACACTAAAATTTAATCGAAGTATTACTGCTAGCGGAAATGATAAATCAGATGACACATTGAAGATCAACACTCCTTATTATTGATATGCAAATAAAACTTTAGACGACAGCACTGAACCATGTTAAGAGAAGAACAGAGCATCTTTAATCACCTGATAACAGAATCCCAACACACCGTTTCACCACATGAAGCAAAGCATCCAGAAGACTAGAAGAGGTTACTATATTCGGCAACTGATCAAGAGACAGGGCAGCCTGAACAACAGCCAGATCATCATCCCAAAGCTGGCGCAGTATAGCATCCTGAATTGTGACAAGGTTCTGGATGAAGAGTGCCAACGAAATAAAAGATTAGACAGATGCCAAGAAGTGTGTAGCAAGGAGTCATAATATTATTCGGAATGAGTCCCTCCCCACACATACCTCTGCCTTAGATCTATCAGCCTTGAGAACACTGTTAAGACTAGAGAGTGCAGCACAACGTACAGCAGCCTACAATTCAAAACAAGCGCTCAGTCATGCCCAAAAAGGAAAAAAAAATAACATAACTAAGACTAGAGTTTATATAACCTTGGGATGGTGGAGCCGGAACCACAATTTCGAATCCAAGAATGGCTGGGACATGTCTGTATTTCCATCCAGCATACAAGAAACAATCTCTAACTTCAAATCCTCCTTCTTCGAAAGAACTTTAGTATCCTGCAGCAATAATTAGATGGTTCAGAAGGGACATAACTGACAAAAGGATTAAATAAGTCAACGAGACTTGGACTACAGACCTCCAGAAATTTTTGAACTGCTGCACGTAATTCAACAGGATACTTATTTCTAACAACAACCAGAATTTTCTTGGCCCAGCTCCCTACAATTAAATTGCAAACCAAGGCAATTATAAAGAGAGCTGCGAGAGAGAATAGAGTGGAAGACACGGTAGTTGACATGTCACTAACCAGATGCAGAAGATGTAAAATCACTGTTCTTCTGATATTGTGTCATACACATAGAGAAAACCTTGGAGATCAAATGATCAACCAAGTTGTTTATTGGAACATTATCAATTATCGAAACTAAAGTTTGACGACATTGATCATCAGAAGAACTGCAAACAGATACAGATGAGAGTAAGTCAAAACATGATTACTAATAATATAGATACATCCGCTTGGAAAATAACAAACAGTGTGTCAAATACACACCTGTAGAGAAGAAGAGAATCCAGTAACACGGCCAGGAATCTCTTGATGTTGAACTCTTTGGATAATCCAAGAAGAACACCGGAAATATCCCTATACGAAATTGAAGCCCTCGTTAGAAAAAATAATTTAGTTACAATTATTAAACTAAGCCAAGGAGGGAGTACGGTTCATATGGGACTACCTTATTTCCTTTAAAAGGTCCAAAACTTTCTTTGGAATCAAGACCACAGATTGCAACTGTGGTTGATCAAGCGAAAAAACAATTAGTTCAAAAAAACCAACACCGACCAGTTGTAACAGAATTCTCAGTAAGCAATAGGAAATTTGTTTCACATCACATTTAGAAGTTTAAAAATTAGTGATATCAAAATTAAGATGTTTATGAGAACAGAAAGTTCTTGTACCTGAACAAAATTAATCAATGCCATAAATGACAATCGAAGCCAATGAGGATCAGAGGAATCTTTCGCATGTTCACGAGCAATGTCGATGATTGACCTCATAAAGCGTTTAATAAGATTTTCATTCAGCATGGCTCTGTTAGCCAACATCCCAACAACCATTAACGCACCAGCCTAGAAACAAATAAACATGTCAAAAAAATCACACTCGCTGAAACAAAATCAATAAAATGACAAGATTTGGCAGTTCCGTCATACAAACCTGCTGATCTAAACACCCTTTCACAGCAGATTGAAGACCAGAGTCGACAAATGGTAAAATTTGCTTTACTAAATCACCGTCAACCGTTGCAACAGAACCTAGAACCTCGACGACAACAGCTGTGGAGAAGCTGATCACGGGTTTTGAAGGCTGATACTTCTTAGTCCGAGATGCCTACAACAACCAAGAAATCAGATCGTCAGCTTAATATAGGGATTAAGAGTCACTTTAGGGAAAATAAATAACAGCTACTTACATAGTCACACAAGGACTCCAAAACCTGCATATCACGTATGCACTGCTGAACAATAACCGATCTAGGAGGTGGAGCACCAGAATTTTTCACACCATCCAGAAATTTCCACTTGGTATTGCTGTATTCCAAGTGAAATGAAAGCCAATGATTACAACACTATTTGAAAAAAAAATAAGTGTCTTCAACTTCAAAAGTGAAGTGAATGAAAGAATCATGCTCACCCAGTCGAAAGCAGCTGAACGATACGGACAAATGCATGTGTGTCGTGGTATGGCAAAGCGCATAAAACCACATCTTCTAAATTGTATATATGAATCCTACAAATTCCAATAGTTAGGACAATTTGATGAACAGATACATTGGCAAGTCCAAAAGAGATAGTAATAAGGAAAAACTTACTTGTATCTTCGTATGAGATACTCAAGGGTCTCCAAGGAAGCTCGAAACTGGAGATAACCGGAGAGTAAGCGTAGAAACGAGCTGATTGATGCGTCAATCCGAGCATTTTCTTCTCTACCCAGTAATTCCCTATCAGTTTCTCTACTTTTATGACTAAACAAATCATTCATGAAGTTCTTAAACCTCTCATCTTTGTTTCCAAGCACTTCTAGACCTGAATTAACAAAAAAAAAACGGAAAATCACTGAGCTGGTTCAATGGAAATTACATTTTACTAGAAGAGCATAAATCAAAACCCATAACAGACCTTTAAGTCCGAGTTCGTAAATTGACTCGATATCGAAATCTGCTGCTTCTTTGGGACTGAAGAGGATCGAAGGGCGTGTGTAGGGTCTCTTCGAAGGCTCTGTATCGGCTAGTACAACCGACTTGATGGCCTGTAACTGCGACGCTAGCGAAGAACTCATGCTCGCTCAAGCTTCTTCTTCCAGAGGAAAATCGAAGATGAGTCAGACAGGGAGAGAGAAAGAGCGCGGCGTAGAAGATGAACAAACAAATCAATGTGGGTTTAGGGTTTAACGATTCTTTTCTATATATTTTTTTTAATTTGTTTGTCGTCTGACGAATGCTATACTCTTTTTTTAATCTCTTATAAACCTCTCGGTAAAAAAGAAGAAGAAGGAAAGTGGAAACCCCCTGAGTTTTAATGAAATCACGTTTCAAAGCATGACCTTGTTATTAGGATTAAAAATCACCCCAACCTTTTGAAATGTTACAAAAGAATCCATTCGAAAATCTGAATCTCTAGATTCTCTATTTTCTTTTCTGGTCCTAAAATACTATTTGCATTCCATTCCATTGCCAAGACAGTAAAAAATGAGTTCTAGACGGTTTCTCCCAAAAAACATGTTCAACTATGACAAGAAAACACAGAAAAAAAAAAAAAAAGAACTTAAGCTTGGAGAAGAAACACATATATTAAGAAAATTAACCACATCACCAACATCATAAATGTCATATAAACAATTTTAACAACAAATCTATAATCAAGTCACGTTAATTATCCTCTTCATCACTACCTATTATTTGCCATCTTTCTCTCATTCTTAAGCACGGCTCCATTTCCCTTTTCTCCAAACTTGGCAAGGCCTTAAATCAGTGTAAGCAAACTCCAATCTCTCATCAGTCGTTTTGAAGTAGACACCATATCGAGTGTAGTTGCTGTTTATCTTATAGACTCGACCAGACCACCATCCATCGTTAAACCAAGCTTCCACATCTTTTAACGATTCATATCGACACGCCCTTTGAATAAGTTGAGGAGGATTAGGTCTTATATCTAGGCCTCTTGCTTCTTCCTTTAACAACTCTCTTCCATCCTCCGTTCTCAGTGTTTGATACTCAACTGTGTATCTGTTTTCCCCTAAGTAGCTTATAATCTTGGCAGAGTACCATGAGCCTTCATAACCTCGTTCATCGCTTCTAACTTCCACCATCATTCCGATGTTAAACACCTTCTCTGCTCTCTTACAAAATTTCAGCTTCTTCCATGGAGGTTTGAAGCATTCTTCTCCCTGTACACAAAAAAGGAACGCACAAACTGTAACAGTGTAAACACCTGTATTCAACAAATAACAAGATTAGTTAATAGCAAGACATTGTATGTAGCCATACCTTGTAAGAATTAATCCATCGGCCATTGATCCAGTCTTTCCGGGGCCTCAAATTGAAATGTAGGACTGTCACTTCTTCACCCGTGGAGATGAAATAAACTAAGTATGTTGAATCTCGTGCGAGCACTTTGGAAACCCTGCCGATCCACCACCGTTTGTTGAACCAAGCATCAACTTCATCCCCTGGTTCATAGCGTAAAACAGGCGAGAGTTCTGAAGGAGGAACTGGTCTTATGTTCTCGGCTTCTACCAAATCTCTCAGAGGGATAGACTCGTCGCCATCTCTTGAAAATCTCAAGTGTTCAACAATGTACTTATCATCACCTAATAAATTAAGTATACGTGCACAATACCAAGAACCCGTGTAAGCTTCTTCTTCACTTCTGACTTCCACAATAGCACCCTTCTCATATTGACCTCTTCTTTCTCTGAATTTTATCTTCAGTTTCATACTTTTGGTCGTTGATTCCAATACATTGCCCTGTAATCAAAGAATTGTGAGTGCACTAAGACAAATCCCAACAAATCTTCCAACTCAATTGCTCAACATATATAGGAAAATATTTTAAACCAAGGATCTCAGAACTAAGTCGTGAGAGATTTTAACATTCTCCAGTCCCATACCAAAATTCTCAGAACATAGCCATCAAAATGTCATAAACAAAGAATGTATCGAGAAATCCTAGTTTACGTCACAAGCTGTCAAAGACTTTCCAAAAAGAACAACTGAAGATTTGCAAATTCAGAACAAAATTATTAATCAGACAAAAAATTTTGCCTGAAACCTTATATTCAATTTAAATCAGAGGCAGAGAAGTAACGGATTTACCTGATGTTGGAAAAGAGATGGCACCCAAGTTCCATCTTCCCATTCACGATGTAGCCTCAGATTCAAGTGATCAACTTGTGCTTCTGGGCGATTTCCCCCTTTAAACTCTACAATGTACCTTGAATCTCCAAGAATGGTCGTCACGTTGCCTCTAACCCAGCAACCTTCGCTGTCTCGGAAGATGTCAACCTCATCGCCAGCCTTGAAGCTTCGGTTGAGCTCTCGCGGCGGTGATGGGCGGAGGCGCGTCGGAATCACGTACTCCTTCATACGTACGGAACTTCCAACCAGTAGAGCTTCATGCTCCACCCAGACGAGTTTCTTTCTCAAAGACGGCGCACTAACCACACTCGCCGGAAAGTAAGCCGCCGCGCCGGAGACGACTCGTTCCACCTCGACGCGGTCGCCGCCGCGCCAAAGTCCATCGCTCATCATCTTAATTCTTAAGTGAAGATGTTGGTGCTCGACTTTGAATTCGGGTTTTATTACCAAAAAATTGTGCAGGAAAGAGGGACAACGAGAGAAATTGGTAAAGACTACTGATTCAGAAAATACTAGAATAGTGAGAGATGGTCAAGAGTGGTCAACGCCAGAAAAAAAAAAGGAAAAAACACCAAAACAACACGTCGTTCTAAATTCATGGAATACAACATCTTGCTGTTTTTATTGATCGTTCGTACCACACTGCGAGGCGTTTTTCTGCTTCGTGTTAAATGTCTCAAATAAGAGACGGTTCATCTGAGACTAGAGACTTGGAGTTCAAGTCTTGAATTGTTCATGTTTAATGTCTTGTTAAACAAAACAAAAAAACACCGACGGGCCATTACAATGGGCCTCATCGTGTCATAATAGTTCCCGTTTCCAATTTGAGTAAAGATTTTTTCGTACCTGTAAACCGGGCATTGGGTCGGTTAAGCTTGCGATTCATTGTCCAGGCAAGTGGCTCAATTCTCACGCTAAGGCCTATAACGATCGAAGGCAGGACGCATGGGCGAAAACAGCGCCTCATCCAGAGGCTATAAGGTCGAATATTGTGCCGGTTTATCTTTACTTTTGTTTTCTTTACCGCAAACAATCTCATTGATTTCTAATTGAGATTAGTACACAAAACTTTGAACAAAATGGAGAATAGTTATCTGCGCCAAAGGTTTGGCAACTCGTACAGGGAAATGAGATTGTTTTCTCGGTTTCTTCTACTCAGACTTCCTCTAGTCAAAGGGTGAGGCATAAGCGGGACGTAAAATGAGCCCAGAATCATCAGTGTGCTTGATCTTAACTTTTCTTATCTTCTTCTTCATGATAAGCGGCCATATGAGAAGGGCTCGAGCCACGCGACTCAGGGGGTCTTGTAGGCCATCCACTTGGTAGTGACCAAACCGCCAGTCACGGTCAACAAACGGTCTCCATTGAGGCTTGTCGAGACCATCTTTATATGTTGTAACAAACAAAGCCTCGCAAGTAAGATTATAAAAGTAAAAGTTGGAAAATGTAAAAACAAAGACTTAAAAGGTGGAAGTTGTAACCAACCTGCGTACATTAGACCACGATTATCAACGGCTCGGTAGAATGGCCGTAGTTTTCCTGCTTTGGCAGATTTTTGGAGTTCTTTCCATGCAAGAGACCGATCTTTACGAGTGATTTTTCCGCTTTTCACTATCTGGAGAGTACCGGAAAAAAAAAACACACACACAAGCCATTTCAGGACAAAAAACGATCAGATGAATTCAGGTGTTGTGGTAAGGACAAGGGTTAAAATGATAAACCTTGGAAAATAGTTGGTACGATGGCCGAAGGGTTCGGGCAAGATCATTGGATCGGTCAACCGCAACAAGTCCAAATTTTGGACCATATCCGTCTGCCCATTCCCAATTGTCGGAGATAGTCCAGAATACATAACCGAGCACCGGAACACCCTGTCGTGAAAGCCACAAACACAGTGAGAGATATTCCAGCACCTAGGGTTGTTATGGTGCACTCAAAGCCTGCCCGGCCCCTGCAACGGATGACCCGTTTTGAGAATAAGCCAGTCATGAGCTGGGTTCTGATTTTGAAGCTTAGATTAAGTTCATAACAGGCCAGGCTCAAAAACAGGCGGAATAGTTAAGCAGTAAATAACGTTTGTGTGACTCAGAGAGTTGTAAGGACGAAACCTTGAGCATTGCAGCATAAAGGGCAAGGAGATGCTCGATCAGGTAAGGCCGCCGAATCACATCTGTTTCATCAGACACGCCATTTTCTGTGACGATGAACGGAACTTTCAGGTGTTTGTATCTCTCGTGGAACATTAGCAACACGCGGTAGAGACCATCAGGATATACCCCTCTTCCAGATTCACTGTACTCATCAGTCTCTACAAGCTTTAGTCCAGCACCACACACTGCTTCCTGATTTCCCGGAGTCAGATTCCATAATACTTACTTATTCGAGAGAAATCATTATTATTGATCCAAATTTAAGACCTAAAGGCATTTTTCACTCTTAGCGCTCTCTTACCTGTCCGTAGTAGTTGATGCCTATGAAATCCAACTTCTCACAAATGCTATCAATATATGGATATATAGTGAGGGAGTTGCTAAACATAACGGCCCCGATATCAAAGAGACCATATGGTCGCATAAAGGAGACGTGGTGCGCAACCCCTACCAAAGGTTTTCTCAAGGAACTGTCAAATGAGAGTTGGAAACTATTAAGATGCGATAGTGAGAGAAATCCATATGATAATTGTAGAGAAAAACTAACATTTTCCCGTGGATGTAGTCATAAGCCTTTGAGTGAGCAACAGCCATCCAATGTAAGACTCGATGGAATACACCCATTGGTAGAGTAGATGTAGCTATCTCTAGAAAATCAGGGTCGTTACCGGGCCAAGATCCGCACATGTAGGTAAGCATGGTGAAGACATGGGGCTCATTAAATGTTACCCAAGAGTCTACCAAATCGAACATGGAATCCACAACAAGCCTGGCATGTTATAGAAAAAATGATCAAGACCTACATAGTCTCCATAAAGCTCATTTGAAAAGACAGTCACCTGGTGAAGTCCATAAAGTAGTCCACAGTCTTCTCTATTTTCCAGCCACCATAATCAGCAGCCCATGGTGGCAGTGAATGATGAAACAGCGTTAGCATCACCTTCATCCCATTTGAACGAACTCTGTTGAGTATCCATTTATAGTGTTCGAGGGCCTCATAGTCAACCTACAAAGCACAATGGTAAGAACACTTTTATCTACAAGAAGCATATTCAGACACAAGGTTTATTTATGCTTCCTTGACTCACTGCTTCCTTAATCCCTTTGGTAGGCTCGTGTGGCATTATCCTAGACCAATCGATTCCCATCCTAAAGACAGTAACGCCAGTATCTTTTGCTAGCTTCACTTCTTTGTCAGGATCTGACCAAAATTTAAGTCTGTCCTCCCTGGCAAACAATTTGTGAAAATCTCAGTTTCAGCTCTTAAGACACAGCTAAGTTGATCATATCTAGATGATAAGGCTCACGGGTGAGGAGCGTTATGCCACGCAGCTACATTTTTAGTTGGTGGCTTATTGGCAGAGGTCTTGTCATCTTTTCCATGTGTGTTCTTCTCCAACCCTTTCGTTATAGCTCCCACAGCAAGCTTAACCTTCTTCCTCTTTGCCTTTTTATCAGCAGCCTCTGAATCTGCATCAGCTGCTGAACATGGTGTTTCTTTTGCAAACTGGAGCCAAGCATCATTGAGATCGTCCTCCGCATGAGCAGGTGCAGTAGCCAACCCAAAGAAGAATTTGCCCTCCTTGTGTTCTGAAACAAACAGCGATTTCATGTAGAAGAAGTTTGATTCTGATGATTTTGAATTCGAAAGAATGCAGAAAAGGGAAACAATCGTCAACATAAGTTGCAGAAATGGAAAATTCAATTCCACTAAAAAAAACAAAAACAAAAATTTGCAGAAATGAAACCTCACACTCAGTGGACAAAAACCCATCAAGGCTCAACCAAATAAAGCAGAAGGAAGAACACATTCAACAGTAATACGAATCGCAGTCGTACCGTGGGAATTGAAATCGGCGAGAACTTCTTTGGATTCGTCGATCGGAGAGCGGAACTTCCCGAGGTTCCGGCGACGGAAACGAGAATAGGAGATTGCGTTGGCTCCGACGGTGACAGTGGCCAAGAGACCGGCGACCTTAACGAGCAATGCGACTATGTTCATTATCGCCGATGATGATGATGAACGGCACTTTCTAGTTCCTACCGGCGCGCGCACAGAGATAACAATAATAGAACGGGTTTATGAAAAGACGAGCCCATTAAGGGCCTATCGAAACAGCGTGACGTGAAGTGGTTGGTGGTGATCCTTCGCTCGCAACCTTATCGTCTTCGTGTGGGTGGCTTAGCTCTAAGGTCCGTGTACGTCTCTATGTGTCCTAATACGATGTCGTTTTCTCGATTTTAACTTTGAAAGTTCTCTTTTTAGCAAGTGCAACACAATACATCAGTGTTCAACTAATAATTTGGAGAACGAAATCAATCTCCAATTTTTATTTTATTTATTGAAATCAATCTCCAATTTCTTCTGAGTTCCATTTTTGAACTGTGACATATGTGTTCTGTTTCCTTTGACATTACATTATTGCTTTTTTCTAATTTTTGTAAACAGTTTCTTGAATTTCTGCTTGTAGTGAAATTTATGATTGTTGTCCGAGCCCGAAGGCTTTTTATCTCAATGCTACGTGTATTTTTATGAGTGGTCCATGTAGATTTTCTCATCTTTTACCTCAGCCACCTCAAGTTCCTTTTGGCTTCTAATATCTTTTTCTCTCGTCTCATTCTTTTGGCAGTTTCACATGATAGTTTTCCTTCAGATACGCTAAAAAGAAACAAAATCTATTCACTTTCCCTTAAAATATCCATTTTTTGATTGACATACAATGTAGAACGTGTCTGATAACTGCTAATTATCAAACGGAAAAACCAATATAGTAAGTTAGTAACATTTAGTTCAGATTACTGAATTTAGTTTGATCTCCATCCCAAAACTTTAAAACTAAACCGAAACAGAGTACATAAACAAAAAAAAAGAAAGAAGAATTGTTCAGAATCTTCTGATTAAAAGTACGATTAGTTAGTTAGTTAGTAAACTGATCCAGCGTCCTAATTTGCAATGATTTTGGATATGAGATAGTGTATCATACAACAACAAAAAAACTCGGTTAACAAAAAGAGTTTTGTTCGTAACTCACACACATTTATGTTACATGTATATGTTTCACGCAAGAAAGCCTGAAGGTATTGATACTCATAACTTACATAAAAATATTCATAAGTGGATATGTATGCGTATTTAACTTATGAAAGTGATTCATAGGTGGTGTAGAAAGTTGATTCAAGAAGAACATGTATTGTTCATAATTTATGACCATGTGTAGAAATAAGTTTTTTTAAAGACAAGGGTCAACGTTACGTTTCACGCAACTAAGATCTTGGAGGTGTGAAACGCGAACATTTGTTCTTCCTTGCGCTGCTTTTGCTGAGCCCACAGACACAAGTCTCGAGCAGCTGATAGTCCTCTTGCCAGAACAAGAGTGAGGCTTTCTCAGGTTGCTCTATGAGTTTCTTAGAAGCCAAAAAACCTGCGATAGTCCAAGTCTGGTAAAGCCTTGATTGCTTCCCAACGAATCTCCCGCTTCTCGTGTCATAATACTCAGGCCACTCATCTTCCTTGAGCCTTTTCTCTGCTACAGCAACTGCTTTCTTCGCCAGTTCTAGCTTTCCCACCTTGATACAAGCCAATGTGAACTAACAAAATCCAGGCATTAAAAATGTGTTAGGAACTCTTGAATCTGAAAAAAAGAACAGCTACTTAAGAGATGATATATGTTTGTTTGTACCTGCCAGAGGAGAGTTGGCCAGGATCCGCCATTGTGATATGACCAAGGCCTGCAATGACAAGTATGAAATCAAAGATCTGCAGAATTCACAGAGAACACGAAAAAAAAAGGTTTTGAAGGGACTCACGTGTTCTTTGGATCAGAGCCAGTGATTATTCGCCATTCGTCTTGCTCTAGAGCCGGAAAACAGATCTTGAGAGGCATGTTTG